TTAACTTGTTGATGTTACTTTTAGTATTAGTCACTCACATACATAGTAATAACCTACTGTAAAATTTAAGTTAAGAACATTAAAAGTGTCCTTTTGTGAAATTATAAGTAATTTTTTATGTAATTTCAATATTAGTGTAATATATRAGCATTTTTAAATTGTAACATTTTACATACTCATAACTCTCATAAAAATTGAATTATTGTAAAAAATGATGATGATGTTCTTCATTTTAAATTTGACAAGCTCCAATACTTRTTTCACAWGGGCAATTATCTATGCAATATAACTTGGCATGTGTTTTCAGTTACATTGGTGATAGATTAAGTTCATATTTATCACTTTGACTTCATTGCCAGTATACAGCACATCAACTAAATTAAAGTACATGCACCCATGTGAAACAAGCCGAATACTAAAGCTCATATAACAAGATTGGCTATGCTGAACACAGATTTRCTATGTTACACATTGCTAAGAGAAAGAAAACAAGTAACAGGCACAAATAAAAATGTCAATTTTCTTTAACACATGATCTATCACTATTGTACTTTTACACCTATATACCATATAATCATATAAATATATAATAATTGAATAATTAATATTGAATATTGAAGTTAAATAAATAATTGTAAAAATACCTACATGAGGTAAGTATTACTAATAGTGAAAAATAATTTTAAATTAATGAAACTTTTATACCTACTGYTAAGATTAAAATTAAAATATTACTATCGTATAAATTTAAAATTATTTATGGATGAGTCCAACTGAAAAAATAAATTAAATCAGCATATTTTGAAAATAAAAATGAAAATAATTTTAAATTTAATATGTCAGTTCACAGTGTAATAGGTACTCTTAAACTAAGTTATAACTCAGTTATTAATCAACTTACCGAGCCAAACTTTTTGCGAATTCAATTGATGGTGCAGTGACATGTACAATAGAATGTATTCCGCATTTGTACATGACGGATTGGTGTCCTGAAGACGATTTCGAAAAACACAAATTGGTATGGCTAAAAAAATAATATTTGCTGATTGTTCTTTTGGTAACTCATATATAGATAATTACTTACTTATTTGGTCGCAAAATGGTGGGATTTCAAAGCTCAATGCCGTCAGAATTATTTTTGATATACAATTGACTTAAATTTTAAGTACGAAAACAATAATTTTTTTWAAAGTAGACAGGTAGTGTTGATTGATGATTCGGCAAGTGATCACTGATCGACCGAACGTCCGCGGACCGATCAACAATCGTAATATCACCATATAACATTTACAATATCACGTAGTAGTAGTATCGTCCTCGTTAACCGGGTAATAACTCTGGGAAATAAATGTTGGTGATAATAATAATAATAATAATAATAATAATAAAAATAAAAATCATATTATTATCATTCACCGATTACCCATTTGCCCGCTGTCTTGATAACCGGAGTACCACTGTAACCGTACGATGCCGGATAAGCAATCAATATCATTATAACTCTCCAGTTTTTCATTTTGTGGCTCCAGTTACGAAATTATAATTTAAAATTTCAATTTAGGTACTAACTATTTAGAACTTTATGGTGGAGCTTGCGTTTATTTCTCYAGTCTCCGCATTATTGTACGAAATTATTTTAGTTGCATTTTAAAGTAAGTGTTATTATCATGTGTTAAATGTAATTCATGCAATTTTGAATTCACAAGGCTTGGCAAATATCAAATTACAAGGCTTCTATTTAATTCCTTCATATAAAGATTTTACTATGGTCAAGTCAATAACTACATTTTCAAGCTGTAAATTAACTTTGCCATAAATCCAACTCAATGTAAAGCCCCAGATTTATGAATGTTAAAATCTTTAGTAGTTTCATCTCCTAGGAATATAGGGTAAAGTTTTAACAATTTTTTGTAGTCATCTTTAGGCTGAAATCTTGATAACTTGACTGTATCTTCTATTATTTCACCTTCTTTTTTCTTTTACTGCTAGTGATGGATCAAGACTCTAGACTCAAGTGCCTCTCCCCCTCGATCTTTATTATACATTTTAACTGTAATAGTAGTACTAGTGCTAGCCATATTATTTTGATTATAATATCTAAAATATAATATATATATATTATAAATGTAATACGTATTATGTGATAAATAATAAATATTATAATATAAAATTATATATTTAATATTTATATAAATTAGTGAACATAAAAACTTGAGCGTACTAATTGTACAACTTACATGATACAATACTAATATAATTTAATATTACGAACGAATTTATTAATAGTATATTCACRACAAAATAATTATAATTACGGTAAAATCGTTACTATGTGAACCGGTGTACTACAAATCATCATCGTGTTTATATCGAGCACAAGTGCAATAATATCTATGCTATTTATAACTTCAGAAAAATAAATGTATTGCCCTACCTCTAAATAATATCAACCAAATAAAATAAAATTCATAAAATATATTTTATATAATACGGAAAATTTTAGGTGGGCGGGACAAATTAAATATATAACTTTATTATTTTTCATGTTTTTAATTATCACCCTAATGTTGATGTATTTATCATACAATTTTAATGTTTTTTTAAAATCTCATTTTCAGAAAGCCATACTACTTTTAACAACATGGGCTTCTTATCTACACTTGTAAGTTAAATAATGTCAATAAGTTTTTTACTTATATGTTAAGAAAAAGATTTACTTTATAATGAGTAGCAATGTTTTACATGAATTATTATTAGGTAATGTGTTATTGAAAACAATAAATTAACATTAACTAATACTAAAATTGTTTATGATTTATGACAATATAGTTTTTAAACAGATCATATTTTTGAAAAGTTGTTTCTGTCTAGTGTAAATCTGCTATGAAAGAAAACTTGTTTACTATGAGACACACACAGATAATTATTGATGTTATAAGGTTCTTTTTCAAAAAAAAAAAAAAAGGGGGGGTTCTGGTTTTTGTCATGTGTAAGAACTTGAACTTTAAAACTATGTAGCGTGCTAAGGCACTATTGTTATAAAAGTATAATTATTGAAACACTCATATTAATGTAAAACATTTTTATTAGCTACCAGATCATCTGTTACACAGCTGAATAATAAGTTTAATTGATAAAATAAATGTGGGTCAAGTTTGAGACCTGAAAGTCTGTCTACCAAAGTGGTCTGATCAAAATTGTGAMAAAAAAATTATAGAAAATGTGTTGCACATGAATGAAATTGATGTACTAATAGGATATCAGCGTACTATTTCGTTTCCTCTCTCTGGCCAGTGATCAACATAGACAAAACATTTACGCAGAATCATTTTTTCTATGTTTTTAAGTAATCTTAGATTAAAATCACTCACTACAGAAAAGTTAAAGAATAATATTTTTAAGGGGATGAAATATCAATATAATAGTTATTTGTTTTTATATTCGACTTTAGAAATAAACAAAAAAAATTGTRGAAATTTAAATTATGTTTAATAGGTTTGAGATAATATTTAGATAAATTCTGTGTTGACATCCTCTTTTAAGGTTATTGACTTAAAAAAGAGCATAGTTAACTGTTATGCAGGTTTCACCTCTTTGGTGGGCAGACTATTTTCTTTTACTTGCATGTTGCATTTTAAGACTGGCTTTTGTCAAATTGCACGTTTTTATTTACATGGAAATACCCTATAATTTTGATGATCGCTCAGTCAGTAACTAAACTATAACTTTAAGGTGCTCTCCTTTAAAAAGGCCCAATATTAATGACTCAAATTAGAACAGTGTCCTAAGCTCCTTGAGCTTAATTTATTTCAAATTTCAAAATGTCATATTTATAGAAACCGGAGATATCAAAGCTAGAAAAACCAACTCATTCAGCTCATGTAAGATGCCCTTGACTTCAGATATAAATAAAATAGATGTTTATGTGAATAAAAGAATAAGAATTTTTAGTTTTTGTAGTTAAATTAAATTTAGAGTTAAAATAAAAATATTTTTGTATTGGACATTTATACAATTTTAACTATTGCAATTTGTTTATTTATATATTTTAGGCTTCCTTTAGTCTGGGTGTTTATACAGGGATATATGCAGCACAAAACTATGAAGTAAGTTTTATTTTTRGAATTCATTCCTTWAAATCCTATTAACTTATAAAAATATGTCACAGGTAGCTAAAGTTGATGATCCTGGAGTAATTATAGAAAAAATGAAAAAATATTTAGAAGAAATAATGAAGCCTAAGCAATAAATGACTTCAAAATTCAAAATAAATAAATGTTCAAATTGTAAATATAAGTTGATAGTAATTATTACTAATAATTTATAAATGGCTATTTCCTCAATAAAAACATGCTAATAGTTCCGTTGTTATATTGTATTGTTTATTATTCTTTGAAAAATATGCTTGTATCATTGTTGTATATTGGTCTTTGCATTTCGATGTGTAATAATTTAAACTGTTAAAAAAAAAAAAAAAATTTATTTGTTATTTAGGCTACTCTTGTCTATTGATGTTCAATATTTATCAATTTCTAATACTATAAAATGCAAAGATTAACTAACCAAAAATACATAACTAGTATCCCTTACATTATTCCATAATTCCAAATAATTTTGTACTTATAAATGTTGATTAACAAACCAATACATTCTTCAAAATTCATATTTATAATAATAAACTACAATAAAATTATGTTTCTGATGATCAAGCAAACTGAATGTAAATGTATTTTATARAAGTAAATTTGTAGCTTGCTAAAATAAATCCACCCTAACAATTAACAATACATTTATAAGCAAATATATAATAGTAACATAAAGTAAATAAAACACAATAATAAAATATTAATAAGTTTTATGTAATATATATTTTTAAAGACACCCTTGAACTATTATTTTCAATATATTTTAGCTGTTTCTGGATACATAAATATTACACATACTACTTTCATAAAATATTATAAATTTAATACTACTATAAAACTATTACAGTACATAATTAAATAAAAAAAATTTGTGACAATTATACAAAATTATCGAAAATATGCCATGTGTTGTTAAATAATTCAATACATATGCCTAAAAAACAYTGAAATACAATCACAATTTCCAAACGAGGCATTTAATTTGTCGTTTCAGTTTCATAATACAGTTTATAAATTTCTTTAATTGCATTTTCAATTAACTTAAAACAAAACCGCCTCCGGAGTACTCCATTCTAGTAGGTGGATTGATAAATGCAAGCCAATCTGAAGCATGTGTTGGTAATAAACCCATRGATTGACATTTATATAATGCTAAAACAATATTAACGCAATTTCCAAYGAAGAATATAAATTTTTGACCCCATGCTTGTGTTCCTTCAATGGTTTTAAATGCTGCAAAATAAAAATTATATTAATATTTTAGACTTATAAAATAATATGAAAAAACAAAAGTGATAAATAATCAAAATAAATACTATACTTATGTGCAACATTACATATGGTCTAAGTAATCAAATGTATTCTGAATCATGTTTTTATTTTACTTAATTATTTTTAAAAATAAAAAAGTTAGGTGCCTAACAGTTTGTTGAATATTACATATTAGAAACATAATATTGAAATAACTAGTTATTTTGTAGGGCCTAATAATGTATTGCATTAAGTCTTGTACACTAATTAATTACTTTTGTACTTCTTAAATCTGTAGACTATAATATACTTTTACATATGGAATTATTCAATTAATTTTATATTAATTTAAAAAAAATATGTTCCTTGGCTCATTTTATAGGTTACTTTGTTTAATATAATCTGGATAACTTAGTCCCAATTAATCCAGATTAAATGAAGTTATACTGCAGGTATGCCCAACTTGCGGCCCATGAAAATTATGTAATAGAATATTAAATAAAATAGTAAGTATTAATAGTTTAATAAGTAATAAAATGTTTCATTTTAACTTGAGCGCAAATTTGTACACACTAAAATCATTTAAATGTGCCATATAATATACAGTCAAAATCAAGAAAATATGAAAGAAAAAAATTAAATTGTGTAATATTATTAAATAATTTTTAAATTTTTAATCGATAATTATTTTTACTATTTTSTAAATTTATGACCTAAAATAAATTAAAAAACTTACAATTATTATTTTTATTATTTATTTAATTAATTAACAAAAAATAATCAAGTTTGCCAAAATATTCATGAATATACATTAACCATTAAGCCTGAAGTAACATGCAAAAACAAAATATGAGATTAGATTCAAAATTCAAACATTTAAGTTTGTAAAGATTACTGAAAAATCTCAAAAATGTGAAAGGGGAAAAATACACAATTGCATAAAAACACTCGCTGTAACAATAACTATAGTCTATATTAGTATTGAATTGTAAAAAAAATAACTTAGAAAGCTACTCTCCTTATAGAACTATATTATAGAAATATAATAATTGATATGTTAAATATGAATTTAATGATGAGACATTGCAATGTTAAATTATTCTGAGCATATATACATTATGATACTTTTCTGCTCTATTTTCTAATTTATTTAAACTGTTAGTAATACATTAAGTTAAACCAAGTTCATTAAAAATATTACAAATGTAATAATGTTAATCATTACGATATTATCATAATAATATAGTATTGATATTAGCATTATACCAACAACATATAATACACAATTATTAGGAGTCCTGTTGTCCTGACAAAGTTTTTTGGAATGGCCAATAGTCTTGGAATCGAACTTCAATAATTTATGCAAACATTTCTTGTAGAAAAATAAATTCTTTTTAATAAATGGTAATACAATTAAGTTCAATACCTAATCACCAAAACCATTTTTGTTATCAGTATGTTATATGTCAAGAGTTAAAATGTTTTATATATGTTTGAATAAATTAAATTACTATATATTCAGAGTTGAACAAATGTAAAAAAAAGAAGGTATTATTTGTAAATACTTATATTCATTAAAAGGCAATATTGATTTGATCATTTGATGAAAATTCAAGTTTTTTTAAAGAAAATTCATAAAAAAGTTATTAACCATAGAATATAAGATATTTACGATTAGAAAATTACCTTCATGGAGAAATTAAAATGTTCTTGTTTTTGGATAATTTATTTATGGTAAAACAATGTTAATCTTAATACATATAATATAAATTAAGGGTAAAAATATTTTATTTACAACTCTTATAAAATAAATATGAAAAACAATTACCAAACATTATTTGAACCAATAAAATATCAGTTAAATTTAAATTGTTTTATATATATATATAATATGCATGTAAATATATTTGTTGTTTATATGTAAAAGTTTAATATTAAGTCATTTTACTAGAAAATCATTTAATTTAAAAAATAGCATATCTTATTAAAAGTAATAGCTTGTAWGAATCAATTTTGAAACAATAATTTATGATTTTTAATAATTAAATGTAAATATAACAACACTAAGCTTTATCTTGTGTTAACTTGTAAAAACATAATTTTACATAATAGTATGTATATCTTTTAAAATAATATTATTGAATACTAAATTACTTATAGTTGATAATTTATGCATCATGGTTTCAATAATGTTTTGGCTTATTTCATAACATTTATTTCATAAATTGTTTTTGAAAAATTCAATATTATTGCAATTATAAAGTTAAACATATACAAAAAATCCTGTCTATTGAAACTTTATGTAAATATTAAATAACAATATGTATAGTGTTTGGTAATTACTAATTATTATTCGCTAATCATATAGTTCTGAACTAATAACATTTTATAGCTAAGTAAAGGTAAGTATTAATAATGAATACACAAATAACCTATTTTTTTTGTATTCAAAATTAGGTATATAGGTAAGACTTTCACCTATATCTGTCTGACTATTTAAATTTAATATACTAGTTACAGAAATCGACACAAAAGTTTTAATATTATTAACTTACTCGTTTGTAGTGTAAATAATGCTTTGACTGGTCTTACTATCAACATACCAACCATCATGATTGGAAATATAGAAATCGAGTTTCCAGCCATATACATAATAAACAAGTTCATTGGTACCTAACAATAAAGAATATTAATAATTGAATATAAAATTTAAAATTGGTTAACTCTAGTACTTGTTTTAGTGGTCCTAACGCTAGATCCCAAGATTTTTTAATAATTAGTCTACTCGATTCACTGTCTTTTGACAGTTCAGTACCATTTTGTCCAGCTAATTGACTATATCCTGGTGGACTTACGTTGTCTGACGATTTTTCATGTTTGCTTCTAAGGAATACAAATAAATTCAAGTACAATTATTATAAAATATAACTTTGCATAATGTAATGAATATGTAATAAAACATAATGGTTTTCAACAAGAAGAGTTCGATACATATTGACTGAGAATAGTAAAGTTATGWACCGACTCTTATCGAAGTGTAAGGCCTATAYGGATTGGTACTTATCACTTGTATATTGAACGTGTAACTTCTTAAACACTCAAAATTAAATCGATACATATCGATTCACTCCAATTTCTCCCTTGAAAATCTTGCATCATTGTAGTTTAATAAGATATTATCTATGAAATAAATAATTAGAGATGAGCTATTTACCTGGTAAAATCTAAAGACCATTTGAAGGTTTTATTTTTGACTGAAGTCATTTCGTACAGCAGCCAAATCACGTATCTGGGATTCTAGAAAGAAAAAAAAATCCTATGTTAGAAATCCTACGTTTTTTCACTAATTTTTCGGTTGGAGAATGAACGTTTGGGTAACAATGCAACACTATGCAATATAAAAATTTTGAATGTGTTCAAATTGGAAACTAGAAATACTTACAAATTACAAGAAATGAATAAAACTGTAGCACAACGAAATCAGTATTTCACGGCTTCGCGGAAATGAATAAATCGTGAAACTTCAACTACGATTGTCGATTATCGTGTATAATTTGTTTATTACTATCGATCACAGATAACCGCTGATAATGTTGTTTGGACACCGCCCATACGCCCCATACTATAGTTATAGCAACGTACTGACACGGTGACACGTCGTTTCGACTATCGAAGTCGGTGACCAGAGTGGCTGAGACCGATACGGTTCGGTACGAATCGCTGATAAACCGCACGACGTATAACGTTTTGAATGAACCATATTGAACCGATACAGTCGATACACCCAAAAATGTCTTCCTTAAATATAATTTAACAAGAAACTCCGTGCTTGGCGTGCTTCCGTTTCTGCTTTGTACAACAAATAATGAATAATATAATAGGCATGTTTTGGCGATGCAGTTTTGAGCAATATGGTCGCCAGTTTAACTAATTAGGTATTAGTTTGTACTCAGTTCACACAAACTAGTTAACAATTGACTCAAAACTATACCACAGTTAGCACTTACAGCGTGTTGGGAATTACATACGATACACGATATTAATAAATAATTTATAATAATATACTTCAATACTTACCATGATAATTTAAATAATTATAATACTATATATTATTATAGTATAAAATTTATATTATCGATGTAATTAATCGTTTGAATTGGGGCTTAAATTCTATCGGTATAGCGCTTTGTAGTCTGTTGTCTGTGGTTCTTGTAATCTTGTGGCATCTTGTGATCTTTTCGAGGGAGATGACTCGATAAAATTACTACCTAGTAAAACCGTAGCCATAATATACAATGAAAAAATTATATTGGTAGAAAACCGTCTTATTTGTTTTGGTTATCTAGATTATTTAATTTTTATATCTTGAATTTTAAACTGAATGATAAATGTATTGATTTTAGTACTTATTTATTATAATCATTTTTTGTGTCTGTGTATATGATAAGTA